AGACTCAAAAAATTGTAAGAGCAGCTGTGCAGGGGGGCCCAAACAAATATTTTGTCAGGGGGCCCACGAGTCCTGGCAGCTCCCCTGGTCTCTTCCAGCGTTTCATCAGATTGTTTTTTGAAGCAGAAATTAACCCTAGTGGTCCAAGAGAAGGAACTTTGTCATCTAATGACGGATGTCACTGTGCATCAGATTCATGAATGAATCAGAAACATGCAAGTAGTTTTATTCTTGCTTGTGGCCTTTGGCAGCAGCTTTGTGTTCCTACCGCTGCATATGACCCTCTGCATTCGTTAACCCTCATAGCGCCAAATTTTATTTTTTTTCTCCACGGAATGCACCTCGTGAGCCAGTGGCAAAAACTACTTACACCCTTGATAGATACTTAAAAAGAAAAAAGCTAGCAAACTAGCAAGGGTATGTTAGAGCTTGGCTAGCAGTAGCCTCAATTGCCTTAGGTCACAGAAATCATTGGCGGCGTCTGAACATGATTCAAAGTTTTGCCTGACAGAAAATTTCTGCAAAAACAAGAAAACAGAAAAAAAATTACGAGATTAAATATTCTTGTCACGACAAAATTTAACGTATCTAAGGCCAAAATACAGATTTTTTTTTTTTTTTTTTTTTACCAATTTAAGACATTTTAAGGCATTACTTTTAGATACATGAAGACTTTTTAAGGATGTGGAGACACCCTAAATACCAAAGAAATGCAATGTGTCATTTTACGTTTAAACCGTACAAATTACACTGATGGTATGAATTTATATGTATGATGTATCTTAACTGGCAAATGTTTTTTTTTCAATGATTTAGGTCAGTTTGTTGAAGATAAAAAAAATCCTTCCTTATCCTTTTGATATGCTCAGTTATGATACACATAAAGGGTAAAGTATAAGAAGCAAACACACCCTAAAACAGTTGATTTAAGATTAAACTGTTTCAGTTGAATCTTAAATCATCTGTTCAGTAAACACACAGTTTACTGAGAATTCACTAAACTGACTGTGTGTTCAGTCAGTTCAGAAGCTTTAAATTCTGCTTCCAAGACTGGCTCAAAGTGCAGAAAGTATCATCTGCTCACACTTCCCCAGCTGTAGTATATCAACAGGCTGTTAATCATCTCCCCATCAGGCTGATCAAAAAGCTAAAACACGACTGACCCAGCTATGTGGATGGGCTGAGGGAAGCTGAAGAGGATGTAGTCGCCCTGGACCGGCGTCAAAGCCCACATGAAGTCACCTCCTTTGTAAAGCCGCTCCAGGCTGTGCTGCTGGTAGTGCTTCATGCTGGTGTTCACCGCAGCAGTTGGGTTACTGTGAACCTGAAACAAACCCTGTTTCCCAAAGTCCTTATCCTGCAGCGGAGGAGAGGCAGGAGGGAATAAGATAAACGTGGTATCAGATGAGGAGAGCAGCATTTCCACTGCCATGAACAGTATGAACTCTAGCAGGGGAGATGGATCGTTGCTTCTTCCTGCTCCCTTTTCGAACACCTTCAGTTCTGCCCTATAAAATATCTTGCAGAAAATGTTTAGCTATTTGTTTTTATTATTATTACTTTCTTGTTTTTGAAATTGTGTGAAACAAAGACAGACTGCTACGACAGATTTTGCCTAAGCACAGCATCACCATCCACAGATTGTAGGATTATAGGAGCTACTACAGCATTTAAATTCCCTTTGGGAAAAATAAAGTCTTTTGGAGTTGCATCAGTTCTTTGTCAGGATTTTAATTTTTCATCCAGAAAATGGTTTTCTGATCAAGAGAAAAAATAAGTATGATTGGATCAATTCTTTCTCTCCATGGAGTCATTTACATGTAATCAATGAAGCTGTCTGCTGCTTTTGTGGCATTCTGACGTTAGCTCCACACAGACGGCACTCATCGTGACAGAGGTCAGAGGTGCACTCACCTTCAGACGCTGCAGTTTTCCAGGCAAAGAGGAATGAAGACCAACATGCTGGAAGAGTGAGGGCTTGTATCTCCTCCTCAGCATTGCCTTCTGTAGATCACAGTGTTTCTGCAAATGAAACCCACTGATGATTAGTGAGAGCAGAGATCACGTGTTGGAACACCCAAGATAGTCATTATTATACTGATATGCTGCATGCAGAAGCTGAAGATAAAATTAAAAGTCTCCAAAAGGCTAAATGAAGACATCTGGAGAGATCCACGGCTAGATCCCCATCAGGGCTGGATCCCTAAT